CGGCAGGGAGGCCCCACAGACCCACCTCCGCCTCTGCAGCAGCCAGGTTGGGTCAGGGCAGCTGGCCTCTGTCTCCCAGGCAGGGGTGTGTTATGTGGGTCTGAGGAGCCCCAGGAACTGCCCCAGGAACAGCCCCAGGAACTACACAATATGGGCTCCGTGCTCATTCATGGGACAAACACATGACAAATGGGCTGTGAGCAGATCTGGGGCTTCCTGGGCGTCTGGTGCTGAGCGTCTGGAATCTTCTGTGCATCTGGTTCTGGTCAAAGCGGCCTTACTGTTTGGCCTCGGAATCCTCTCCGATGGCCTCTGTTCTTGAACCTTCTCCTCCAGACCCTCTTTGGAATGTATTCACAGCTCTGGGAGATCTGCTGGAAGAGGCCCCTCGAAGCTGTGCTCAGGCTGAGAGAGAACATGCAAACAGCTAGAGACAGGGATGCTGGGAGAGGTGGAAGCAGAGGCTTCTGGTAATGGGGCTCCAGCCAAAGCCTGCCCTACGCAGCCTCCCCTGTCCTCCGCCACACATGTCTGCAGTGCTGCTGTGTGTCAGGCCTGGGGGCAGGTCACAGAGCTGACCTTGTCCAGACCCTGCTCTGTGCTCCCAGCAGAGGCCGAGTGAGAGCATTCATTAAGACGAGGGGTGCTATGGAGCCCTGATGATGTGCTCAGCTCGTTGAACACACGCTCACACAGCCCTGACTCCAGGCCAGAGATCAGCACCTCCCTCATCCCCATGTTACAGGCGGAGATCAGCAGGCCAACCAGAGAAATCACACACAGCAGGTGAACGGCAGGAGGCAGGATCCCACCCAGGCCTGTGCATTAGCTACACGGGAACGGCAACAGCTACAGTGACATCTAACTGTGAGGCCCAAGTCACACAGAAACCCTCCACTGGGCCTGCTGGGCGGGAGCTGCAGGTCACGTGATGGCCCCTCACGGGGGTGATGGGATGAAGCAGAACCTAAAGATTGCACCCTGGGGACACTGAGGAGCGGCAGAAACCACATGCCAGGAAGGAGTGGAGGGATCAGAAGACCACAGAAGTGAGTGGGAAATAGGAACTGGAAGTTTCCAGGAAGCCGCGTCCCACCCTTCTGCAGGAGGAGCTCGCAAGTGCCCCCCAAACATAGCCCAGGCTCTGCCCTTGACTCTGCGCTGTGACTTGCTGACCCTTCAGCTCTCTGTGCCTCAACTTCCCCAAATATAAAGAGAGATGAAATCAGCACCTCCCTCCCTGTAAAGTGCTCAGAGCAGAACTTAGCACATAGTTCATGCTTCATACGTGACTATTAAGTCAAAACCCTCACTAAGTATTTTACAAAGATGAGTTCAAGGACACAGGTCCTTGCTGTTGGAGGTGGGGGGTGGGGAGAGGCATGGAGACAGGGGACATTGGGAGTGAGGAGACAATGTTCCGTGCGGATGGGGCCCTGTGTAACCCTCCCTCCTTCCCTCCTTCCCTCCTTCCCTCTTCCCTTTCTTTCTTTCTTTCCTTCCTTCCTTCCTTCCTTCCTTCCTTCCTTCCTTCCTTCCCACCCTCCTTCATTCCCTCCTTCTCCTCTTCTCTGCTTCCTTCCTTCCTTTCCTTCCTTCTTTCCTCCCTCCTTCCTTCCCTCTCTCTCTCCTTCCCTCCTTCCTTCTTTCCTCCCTTCCCTCCTTCCCTCCCTCCCTGCCTCCCACCCACCTTCCTTCCCACACACGTTCCCGTTCCCTACTTCCTTCCCACCTGCCCTCCCCCTTCTCTCCTTCCTTCCCTCATCGTCCACACGTCCACCCAGCACCTCTTCACATGCTCTGCTCATGCACCTGGCTGCTCACTCACCGTGTGTCTTAGACCCGCACTCTGCCAGGTTCTGTGTGTCTGCTGGGATATAGCACAGAGAGAAAGATGTGGGGCTGATCTCACCCTCGGACCTCACTGTCTATGAGACCCACCAGGACCTGTGTTGGCAGAGTGGTCAGGGAAAGGAGACGTGGATGCAGAAAACAAAGATGTGGAGCCCAGGCTGGGAAGGCCTGAGAACTGGAACATTCCAGACAGCAGACTTATCTCCGCATGCATTCCTCCATCTGTCAATCCGTCTGTCCATCTACTGCATTCATTCATTCCTGCATTGACTCATTTGTTTGTTCCACGCGTGGTCTGCTTGACGAAAGCCTTGTTTGGAAGCTGCTCAGGTCTGAGTTCCGATCACAATTCCGCTGCCACGTGGTACTTGATCTCCCCAGGCCTCAGTTTCCTCATCTGTAGGACGGGGCTGTGCCAAAACAGGAACTAAGAGGAGGACCCGGTGGGACAGCAAGCATTCCTGGAATGTGGTGAATGTCCCATAAATGGCAGCTAGAGTCCCAGTCACCACCAGCCAGTAGCTTGCAGCTTGTTCAGCTCGAGGGACGGTAGTGCCTGGCCCCGGACCCCCACCCGCCAAGGCAGACCCCAGCCACACACCCAGGCTGCTCCATGAGCTCATTCAAGAAGCCGGACCCCTGAAACAGGATGTGCATAGGGCTATCCGGTCATACTGGTCCATTCTGACGCCGCCCTTCACAAATGCCGAGACACACCTCCCTGTCTCGGGCAGGCCTCCTGATGACCCCGTAGGCACTAACACCATCTTATTTCTTTCTGCAAAGGCAACTGAAATACAGAGAGACCGTTGGTTGTCCAAGGCCCTCCAGTAAGTGGCACCACTCTGCTTGAGTCACAATGTCACCTTTCTCAAGGTGTCATTGGTGCTGAAGGATGGTGGCTTCCAGCAGGACCAGCTGGCCATCTGAGGCTTCCCCTGCAGGGGCAAGTGGTCAGCACTGTGCCACGCTTTGCAGTATCTGCTCCGACTGCCCGTCGTCATCAGATTTCCCAAAACAACCCGGCATTCTCTGGGTTCTGCATGGGTCCTGGCAGAGAATATCCCGAGACTTTGGAAGGTCAAGCTCACTTGTTTGGAAATACCAGGTCCTGACTCGGCCTTGTCAGAGTTCAGAGTCTTGGGTTCTTGCCCCAGGCCTGCCACTAACTTAGTGTATGCCCAGAATCAGCCAGCATCTCTGAGTTTCCACTGTCTCCCTTATGGTCATCAGATATCTCATAGCACGGGACCAGTCTGTACTTGGTGCTCATCAAAGGGTCACCGAACGTGGATTAGCACCTAACACCTTGCATGACTCCTTTAATGACACCTGTTGATGGTGCTTGCTTCATGGGACTTATTCTGAAGACCAGCAAGTAAGTTCATGAGAAGGAAGCAAGGATTCACATTTACTAAGCAGTGTCCATGTACCATAACTCCCCTCCTTGGCCACTTGACATGCATGATTTTTGTAAAGCCCCATATAGCAGTTAGGAGGCATTTGGCACCAAGGAATAAGACACCTAATTTCAGCGTGTTCAGTAAGTCACTGAGTTAATTCACGTAACAGAAAGTCTGGAGGTGACTGTTCCAGGTTTGGTTTAGGAACACCATAAAATCCCAAAGCCCCAGCCTCTTTTCCTCTTTCTGCTCTACCATCCTCAGCACACTGGCTTTTCATCCTCAAGCTTGTGCCTCATGTACTCAATAAGACTGCTGCAGCTCCAGCCATCAACTCCAGCCATCAACTGCACACAAGGTAAAAACAGAATGAGTAGAGAATTTTCTCCTTCTAAGGGATTCATTCTTTTCTAGGAGCCCCCAGCAGATGTTTCTTTATGTCTTACTGGCCAGAATCAGGACAGAGGCCAAATCAATAAATGGAAAGATCACCAGAGTCACCTCTTGAGGGGTCATGTCCATGGTCACAAACCTACACCACACTGAGCAGCCATGCATGCTCCACATCCCCTTGTAGAGGCTGCAGGAAAAGAGAAGAGAGGGAGTGACTTCTCTGGGAACCACAGGGATGGGACCTTGCTGGGGTGTGTGTGGGAACAGCAAGGCGGCCAGCATGGTCAAGTGTAGCACAGGGAGAGAGGACAGAGAAGTGTACGGGGAGGTCTCAGATGCCTCACCAGGACTGGGGATTTTGCATAAATCAGTGGGCGGGCTCAGGGAGCCTGTAGCCTGGAGAGATTGGTTCAATTGGTTCAATTGGAAAGTTGGTTCAATTTTCCAGGGTTCACTTTGATGGCTCTGGGAAGCCATAGAGGACATAGAGGATGGGCATCGGGAGGGGAGGCTGGGAGCCAGTCAGGGAGCCTGGGAACCAGGCGGTTGCTGAGATCCCCATGAGGATGAGGCGGCTGGACAAGGGTAGACAGGGTCCCAGAGGAGACCCCTCACCTGTGTGGCAATGTCCAGCAGGGGCCAGGCGAGGCACCCAAAACTGACAGTGATAACAAGTGCCCAGATGTGGGGAGACAGCTGTTAGCACCAAAAGGGCCTCTTGGGCTGGTGGTAGGGAGAGGCGACACCTGTAAATTGGCCACCACGGCTTCAGTTGGTTGTGGAGGGCTGATGAGAACCCAAGCCCCAGAGCTGAGTTCATTTGAAAATTCCTATCATCTCTAGATGGCTGCTCTCAAAGCCATCCTCCTTCGCTTGCAGCCAGGGAGAGAAGAGTGAATGATGGCAAATGAAAACCAGAAGTAGGAGCAGTCTGAAGAAATGGGAGGGAGTTCATTTCCCTCCGCTGGGAGCGCGTTCAAAGCCCCCCGCCCGCCCAGGGTAACAGTATCCCCACCTCCACCTTGCGCCCTCCCCGATTTCCCCCTCCCCAACTTTATGAAATAGCTGGGCAGGATGACCCCAGCTCCTTCTCTGAGAATTTACTGCCCCAGTGTGAAATCATAGCCCTGTAACTTTCCCTTTAAGAGCTGTCAGAGCGGGAGAGGCTGGCCAAGCTTGGGCTGGAGGTGGGGACAGAGGGAAGAAAGGGAAAAAAAAAAAAAAAAAGGGAGAGAGGCAGGAAAAGTTTTTTCAGAGGAAAATGCAGGGTTTGTCCTTAACTCTGACGTCAGATCTTGCTTTAATAAAACCCCCACAGGGCTGTGGGAAGAGGCATATCTGCTGCTCCTGATGGGCCGGGCCAGTCTCTCGACCCAGCTCCCTGGAGAAGCGGCCGGATCCCTGGAGAGGCTGCTTGGTAGATGCCTTTGCCCCTGACTTCCAGGCATGAGGTGGTTCCTGCCTTGGACGCTGGCAGCAGTGACAGCAGCAGCCGCGGGCAGCGTCCCGGCCACGGTGAGTCCTGCCGGCAGGGGCTTGCAGAGGGGACCCAGATCCCTTTCTCCAGCCGGTTCTGCTACATGGGTGGGCAGATCAAGAGGGGCTGGAAGTGCGAAGGCAAGTGAAGCCCAGGGCGGGAGGAAGGGGACTGTGTGGGGTCGGCTGATCCTGGAGGAATGGGGGGAGGAATAAGCCTTGGGTGGGGGCCCAAGCAAACAGGTGGTCCACACCCTTCTTTCCCCCCTGAAACTCAGAGGAAAGACACTTGTTGGAGCAGGAAATCAGGGCCCTGGACTCCAGTCCCAGCTCTGCCCAGGTTGGCCGTGTGACTTTGGGCCAGTCACTCCTCCCCACACAGCACTAACTGAAGACTTTGGCAGGAGACTTGTGAAGCCTTAGGTTTGGAACTTGAGTCTCCAAGTGCTAGGGATACTACAGAGAGAGGAGTCAGAAAACACCCAGAGAGCCTGGGAAGGCAAATGCCAGCTTTCAACACAAGTGCCTCTCTTAAGCAAACATTGCCTGGGCGTGCTTTCCATCCCCAGCTGCTGGTGTCTCGGGCTGGCACAGCCCTCTACAGCTTAGGATGCATGTGCCTTGGGGCCCTGCACGTGACACCTGCTGCTTCAAGGGATCCCGAGATTTCTCTCTCTCTCCTCTCTCTAGCCCAGGGCACGCCAAAGGGAAAAGGGAGGGGTCTGCACCTCCAAGAGGCCAGGGGAGCAAGACGCGTGGCGGCACACAGCCAGCCTACTGGCGTGGGGATGGGGCAGACCCAGGATGCAAAGGAGGTGGGCAGCAGGGAAGAACAGAATCCAAGACCCTGCGGCCCCGGGCCAACGCCTGCTGCCTGTAGTAGTGCCCAGAGGCAGGGAGAAGCTTTCATCACCAACTCCCCATGACGGTTTGCTTGGGGATCAATGCGCTCCATTTGTGGATGGGGGAGCTGAGGCTCAGGGGTAAAGTGACTCACCCACGGGCTCAAAGACATGGGTTCTGATTCAACCAGATCTGAGGCTAAGAGCTGGCCTCTGACCACAGCCCAGTTGCCTCTGGACCTGGGGGTGAGGTGGGGTAGAGCTTCTTCCAAGCACTGTAGTAAGATTAAGGAAGGTAGGGAGTGTACCTGTGTGATTTGTTGTGAAATCCTTTGAACCTTGTGTCCCCGCCCAGGATGGGTGCCAAGCCGCGCTACAAAAAGAGATACTAACTTCACTTTATAAAAGAAAGAAACGGAAGCTCGGGGCAAGCAAGGGACTTACCCAGGGTCTCACAATGAGTAAGTGATCAGGGCTCCAATTTAGATCTTCCCCTGCCAAATCCCACTCTTCCTTCTAGAACTTGCCTAGCTGAGGGGAAACCGAGCATTTCCTACAGACTGCAGCAACCATGAGGAGCCATAGCAGCCTTTTCTGGGGGTTGCTATAGCTGGGAGGACAAGGGGTGGATGGAGGAGAGGTGAGACGGGTAGGGTAGCAGGAGTGTGAGTGAGAAGAAGGAAAGAAGCTGACGGCAGAGCCAAGTACCCTGGAGCCCATTACCTCCCATAGCAGGTAGTGCTGGGGGAGAGAGGGGTCCAGATCCACGGGCCCAGCCATGGGGCCATGTAGCCAGGGAGACAAGAGCCCGGACAGATCCGGACAGCAGGCTGGAGGGGAGGCTCCTGGGAGGACATCAGGCTCCTCTCTTCTGTGTAGCCAACCCTCACCCCAGAGGACATTCTCTGGGTCCCCAGCACGCCCCACCCTACACTGCATCCAGATTAAGGCGCTCCCAGCATTGAGACCTCTCGGAGCATCCTAACGTTCCCAGCAAGGGCTGGGAGACAGATGGCGACCAGGGCTTTGCTTTCTAGCCAAACTCCATACGTAGCTGTCCTCTGCTCACTAGTGTATAATAGGAATGCAAGTTCCCTTAGGGGCCCAGTGGGGTTTTAATGGAAAAATGATTATAGAGGTTCATATGGAAGACAAGGTTTGTGGGAATTGCCAAGAAAACTGGAGGAAATAGTGTTCTGAGGGAAGACTTGCCCTATGGGATAGTGAATCTGTGACTGAAGGAGCAAGATGCCAACCAGGGAGAGAAACGTTGAGGAGGACAGGGCAGTGTGCTCAGAAACTCAGCCAGTCGACTTGAGAACGTGATATCTGTGATAAAGGTGACTACAGATACGACCGGTTTTCCCATCTCTTTGTTCTCTTCTTCCTCCTACGTGGAGAGTACCCAGCCTGTGCCACGAGAACGGGGCTACCTTTAGTGGGTGATCTCACATGCCCTGCCAGGTGCTCCAGACCTTCCTCGAAGCATCCAACAGCCACGGGCATTCATCAAACACCTGAAATCCTCATCGCAAAACCCTGGAGTGGATGTGATGACCCCTCTTTGTAGATGCCCAAACTGAAAGTCAGAGAGGGTCAGTTATTTGCCCAAGGTCACACAGCTGGTGATCAGCAGAGTGGACTTTGAACCTAGGTCCCGTGCTTTGCCATACGGCCGGCTGCCTTCCTGGTCCAGGTACTTGCAGAGAAATGAGAGGCACAGAGTTTCTGCCCCTACAGAGAGTACAGGCTAGAGACAGATGACAGCCACCATGCGTGGGGAAGTGAGTCAGCAGGGACGGAGTCATCCAGGAGGGAGAGGCTGGGTGCAGGCTCGGCCCCTGGCTGTGCCAGCTTCAGCAGGACCCTTAACTACTCCGGGCCTCTCTGTCTTCTCTTGTTAATCGGGGCTCACGACCTCGGTCCTACCCAGCTCCCTGCTGGGGCTAAGGAATGACCACAGGACTGCGTCAGGGAAGCTGCCCAGAAGCCTGTGACTGGGTAAACAAATTACGTGCCAGGAATTCCTAGGTACACATTGGGTCTGTGATAGTGTGCGGAGGAGACTCACGCCCCTTCTCCCCTGTGCATGTACGTGGGGACGGGCACAGGTGTGCGCGTGCACGTGTGTCTGAGATTGCAGCTCGTCTGAGTGTACAAATCGGCGTGGTGTGTGTGAATACATATGGATGCGCATGTGCGGTATGGGGCGCACGCTCATTTTCCGCTCCTAGGACCGACCGCCGGGCACTGCGGCCCAGGATGTGGCATGTCCCTTTTAAACACGTGAGAACAGAGGTGACACGCCTTCTTTACATTGCTTGTCCATAACTTTGGACCTGAGCCAGCATTTCAAATCCTCCCCCACCCCCGCCCCTGCTTGGAGCCTCTTCCTGCAGCTTTGCTGCTCTGCTCACACTGGCAACCCCTCCCACTCGCGGCTTGTCCCGGCTGCTGGAGTGAGTGCAGCACGGGCAGGCATTTCCCACCTGGCACGGCGCTTGGCAGAGCCTCAGCATCTGGAATGGGCATGGGAGCAGTGCTCCTTGGGGAACCTGATCCCGGCCAGGGGTGGGGCAGTACCTCTGGCCCGTCAGCAGACTCACCACCCCCAGCGTTTAGAAAAGGCCCCTGCCCCATGCCAACAAAGCAGCCAAATGCCAGGAAGCAGCCTTTGGCTTTATACAAGGATTTGTGCCTGGGGTTCCTCCCAGGAGCCTCAGCCATCTCTCTGGGCAGCTGGGAGGGGCCGCTACACACACGGGTTTCCATATGGGAGCAAGGAAAGTAAGACAGGAATGGCCCAGGCGGGGGTCCCAACAGGGGCTGGGAGCCTTGCCAACAACAGCCAGGAAAGCAAAGCAAGGAAGGAAGTTTTGAGCAAGAACCACAGAATGCTGTGAATGTCTGAGAGCAAGGCTTCAGCACATGGTACATTCATTCAACACCTCAGGAGCTCCCCAGGTCTCAGAAACACTGATGATAATGAAAGCAATCACTCTGTAAACGCTCACGGTGTCCTACCCACCTGTATCTATCAGCTCACTTGAAAACCACACCCAAGAAGCAGGCAGCATCCTTCTCCCGCCACCATCCAACGTGGCCACTCACTGTGTGAGGCCACCAAGTGCCAGAAATGTGGCTCATCCCATGTGAGATGGAGAACACGCATCAGATTTCAGACTCGGTATGAGCACAAGAACATCACAAGCTCACTGTAAATTTTTCTATTGGCTCCATGTTGAAACAAGAATATTTTCAATACTTTGGGTTAAACAAATAGAGTGTTAAACTTCCACTAGTTTCTTATTGGTTTTTCAGTGCAGCTGCTAGAAAATATAAAATTCCATATATGGTTCATCTTGTGTTTTACTAGATACTGTTGGCCTGGGAAGACGCAATTGTGTATAGATGGATTTTAATAAGTGGAGAGAGAAAGATATAAAGTGCTCTAATCCCAGCACCTCCACCAAGCCAGTCTCTTTATCTGTGAAAAGATGTAATATTAGTACTTGTTTCCTTGGGTTACTGACAAGATTAAAGAATGAAACAGAGATAAAGCATACGAACCCCCAGCACATGCAAGGGGAGGTGGGGACATGATTCACATCCCAGCTTGAGAGGAAGCATTGGCCACCGACAAGTGCCAGGTCTGAACAAATGAGCAGAGGTTCAGAAAGACCCCAGAGTCAGCAGCAGGTGGGCGAGAGGAGGGGCAGACTTACCTGTGGGCCGTATAGGGCTCAGGGTTGAGTTGGTCTCTTAAGCTCTCAAGATTTCCCCATCCTGGCAAGCTTTCCAGTACACTTTGAGGGAGTCAAGGAACATATTTGGATTATCATGTAGGAGAAATACTAGTGGTGGCTGTGATGAGGAGGATGGAGCTGATTGATGGTGGTGCTGTGCTGAAGGTGATGATGATGAAGTTGGGGATAATGATGGTGGTGGTGGTGATGGTGACGATAGTGGTAATAATGGTAGTGATGATGGTGATGATGGTGAAGATGGTGATGATGGTGATGATGGTGATGATGATGATGGTAATAGTGATGGTGTTGGTGATGGTGTTGGTGATGGCTCTCCTTCTGGGCCCTCCAGGGGTTTCCTCTGACCTAGAGGCTCAAGTGCACACACGGACATTGGAGGGAAGAGAGTGAACTCTGCAAACGGGGTGGTCGAGAGTAAACCATGGAGTCT